TTAGGACACCACTTAATTTAGTGTATGAGAAAATGGAATTGCAGACTACCCTGCAATTTCAAGTAGACACCCATACGAGAATAAATATACCAAGGTTTGCATGGATATGTAAAACCTTCTGTGCCTGAGAGATGTCCTCCTCCCTCACTGCAACCCCTTCTAACTTTATATTGCCAATGAAAAAATTAGTTCAGCTGGAAAAGACATATTTTGGGCCCCCACTCTTTTATCTATTTTTTTCCTTGAAAAAAGTGCTACTCACATTGACAAATAAAGCACTCCTCACTCTTTACCTTCTCAACACCTCCAGCAAAACAAGCTTTACCTTAGAAGTGTCATTTTATCACTATCAGTGCATCTACATTAAGGGATTTCACTGGCAGAACTTCACTAGGTAACGATGAACATGCTGATTAATGCAGCTGTCCCAAGCAGTTGTAGCAGAAACAACCTTATAAGCACATCCACAGGGAGTTAAAGCCACATAATCACGTTGCAAATCCATGCCCCCTACTTGATACCAGCTTAATTTTCCTAAGCAGGTGACCCTTGAGGGTCACAGGCAAGAAAACATGAGCTGTAACTTCTCAACTGGACACTTCACTGTGATTTTTTCTCCATGAGAAAGCACCAAAGGAAGGTACATTCCTATATGCAGTAAATTCTCTTGTACTGTCAACCCACGAAAAAAAAAAACAAACTAAAAACTGAAAAGGAAAGGGGAAAAAAAAAATCTCAATGCAAGTGCTGCAAAAAAGTAAACAGTGCCGTGGAAAATTCAAGGATAAAGGGCAACATTTCATTCTTGAGGTCTGGAATGGGAAATAATGAGGTCTGTCATGGTAAACATACTTTAGACAAAAGTCCACTAAATCTAGTACTTAATTTAAGTAGAATATATGGCATAATATCTGATGGGACTGAGAGCTAAGGTAGTAATTTCATTTAAACAGAATTTCATACAAGGATACTCTTCATCCCTTCAATATGGCAAAACACACATGACACACGACTCAAGGTCAAGGAGGGGATTTTGATCTGGGCCTGTTGTTATACTGGAACTCCTGAGGATCAGCATAATCTGCAAGGCTTTTTCACTCATACTGAAAATCTTAAAGCTGTTAAAATACCTTGGGGTTGTTTTGTGGCTTGCAGCATGTTCTGGAAGGTAAAGAACAAAGAATTAACAGGAGGTTCAGCCAGCTGAGTGGAAATGAAAGGCAATCTGAACCTGAGGCTTGTCTTCTCAAGAGACACATGCATTGGTCAGGCAATCACAACTTCAAGCTTGGCAAGGTGCTACATGTTCTGAAGGACAAAACTAAAAACCTGATATCTAAAAATGTCTGCAAGATTATTTTACCCAATCAGGAGCCAGTACAACCATCCTTTGGTACGTTCTTCTATCAAAACCTCACATTTCCAAAAGATCCAGTGTAACTTGGCTTTGCAAAAGGAAAAATATCCAAGAAGAGAGCTCTGAACACAGATCACTCCACTGTATTTCTCAAGCACCTTCCAAAGGGACCTTTAATATTCCAAATCTTCATTATTACTCTCCTATACATTAACCCTGGGAAGCAGGCCCCTTGAAGTGCTCCACCAGACCAACCAGCTCTGTTTGAGTGTTTGAAATGAGAAACTTTTCCTCTTCATCTGAAGTGAAGAATCAGACAAACAAAGCATATATTTAACTTCCTATTCACTGAAGCAGTCGTAAACAAGTCCCTGTAAACACTCTACAGGTTACAAATTCCCAATATCTTATCTAAATGTTAAGCTGCTGAAGTGGATCTCAAAGCTCCTTCCAACAGGATTTCTAGTGTGCCACTTACAATAACTGAGGCCACTGGTTATATAAGAGATGTCAAGCCAAAGCAAAAAGATCAGTGTGTTAAACCTGATAAGTCAAATTGGTTTGTAGATAACTAAATGCAGCACCTGCACATACATAAAAAAAATCTTCTGCCCCATATGCTAAAAAAGCACAGCACACTCATCTGGAAGTCACACAAATTGTGGCAAGTTTGTTTTTAACAGCAAAACCTCTCTCTAGTGTATTACAGCTACCCTCGTTTTTCACTCTCTAAATTCTTCTTAAGACACTGCAAGGCCATGCTGCAGGTTGGTTTGGGTTGGGTTTTTTTCTACAAAATAACAGCCTGCTAAATCACATGTATTCTCACAGCCACAATACATCATGGGCTGTATATAGCTAGGGAAAGCCAATTTCCCTTTAATTTTCTCTTCCAGATCAATACAGTGTGATAACATGTGCCAAAAATGTATCATCTCAGGCTGAAAAACACAAAATAACAAGCATAATGGGTGGAAAATAACACAGAGTTCTCTTCCTTGAGAATCATAAAAAAACTGCAAATGACAGGAAACCTGAAACAAAGTGCTTTGGGCTCACACAAGAGTCAGCCTGGCAAGCTCACTACCATGGGACACTGATCTTTGACAGAATTCTAAAAAGGTTTTGAATTTTCTTGTGGTTATGTCACAATGAGATGAACTCCAAAAAACAAACACACCACCATCTAACCTGTGATCTTTAATTGCCAAGTTTTAGGAAGATATTTTAACTGTTGTAAATAAAGACCTTGGTTCACTTTTGGCTGGTGAATGATACAATACCCTTTAACTATTTTAACTAAGAATATTTGAGTCAATCTACATTCACAAATCAGAACTAATTTTTAATATTACTTTTTTTGTCATTAGGTGAACCAAACTGTCAATAGTTCAGTTTTCTAAGATGCTGAAATTCATTGGAAGTGTCAGTGCTAAGGATGCTACATAACTAACACACAGACCACAGGAATGGAAACTTCTGTGATCTTACTTAACTAAAGCTAAGAACAATTAAGGGGTAAAACAGAAACCCCCAAGTGCTGTTATTACAGGAAGAAAAATACCAGTGTGCAGAGCACCTGAAGAAAAGTGAAAACTATTCAGACTCTGCATTATGCACAACAGTGATACCAATTCACTCTGACTAAAATAGAGTTAGAGGTTTTTCCTCAGTTCTATAAAAATAAAAGATGCATAAAGCACGCCTGATAATGCTTATTGGTTCACATTTAGCTTACTGTCAAATTTTACTAAGTGTATTCAGGTCAACACTTGTGGTAAGAACTGTGAAGCATTAAGACCTCAATTACATAAGATTTATGCCCAAGTGAGGGAAACGCCACTTGCACAGCATAAGAAAATAGACTTACAATGTCTGGTTCTAATGGAAAATAAAGTAAACCACTCCATTATTTGCAAAAGTAAGGGGATCTATAAACATTTTATACAGTGTAACATTTAATCTAAGTAAAATCCGCATCTTTGAGACAAACATGATATGGGTTTTATTACAGGAAGCATGTGGGTATTTAAGAAACTACCTAAAAAACCCCTGCATATGTATTGTTTCAATACAAATTGAGCTTCAGACTGCTTCAACAATTCTTTTGGGACAGACTCAAAAGACTGAAGTTAAAAGTTCTTTTTATTTCTTCCATATTTGTGGGGTGAGAGTCAATCCCCCATAAATTCAACAGGCCTATTCCTCAGATGTGTCACACAGCTTTACACAAAGACCACAGCTTGGAAAAGTACAATAAACCTTTCACCAAGCAGCAGTGCTGTGAGGGTCTTCCAAAGCTCCAGGACTTTGCCATTTTTTTAACCAATGCAAGAGCAGTGTATCTCATCTTGTGCAAGAGCTCCAGCAATTTCATGCCATTTACTTGATGGTTTGATTCACACTGAGTAAGACACGGGACTATGTAGCCCCCAGGCTTCTTTCCCAAATCCTTCCTGCTTTAAATAACTCACTGACATCTGCACTCGGTGGTGCACTGATTTTGGTGCTCAAAGCTGCTTATCACCTATAGTTAGCTGTAATGAGATCATGACTGCTCCCCACACATGCTTAAGCTGCTCAGACAGTACTGTCAAAGGACACAGAACAAACAGCCAGCCCTATCTTCTTGTGCCCTTTTTAAGATTTCTAAACTCACTTTTGGAAATGCTTGATAATACTTTAATATCAGTAATGAAATTTAATTGGAATTAAAGATCACATGTATTTTGCATGAACACACTCTGGAAGTTTAAAAAATTGGGAGAAATGCAGCTCAGCATAGAATTGGGGGGAAGGGGAGGGGAAGAAAATAGAAATGTCAAAATAGAACATATAAGTTCTATACAGCAGTTTAGCTTCAGCACTTAAGTCAGCAGTGACAGACACAGGAGCATGCCTTGAAGAGAAGGCACCAGGTGTCTCCTCTCTCTTCTCCAGGAAGGCACTTGTGGAGTTCAGCTTCTCTGGTCATTACCTTTTGCATTTCAAACTAAGAAAGACCATTGCCCACACAGGCTTTCCCACCAGGAAACTGAACTGTGTGACAACCACTACTCAAACACACCATGTCTAAAGAAAACAAGGTCATTTGAGTCTGTTTATACCATAGGTATATTGAGTCATATCTTTGTTGATAAAGAGCTTGGGGCAAAACAAATATGACTGACTTTCTTCCAAATTCAGGACAGCACGAAGTAACCTCTTTGAAACTGAAAGACTGTTGAGATCAACCTTAACTTTCAGCACACTAATCTCAGAATAGAAAGGAAAAAAAGCAGACTATGATACCAGTTCTGAAATCATCATAAGGCAATGCAACTGTAAATCAGCCACCTAAATGGTCGGAATTACTAGAGCATGAGTGAGCCTCCAAATCTTGCAATTTTAGTTCTCATTACAAAGAACTGACGCCGATTTGGTGAATGAACGGGACTGAATTTTTCAATTCACTAGTGCACTTACCTGGGTGTTCCTATAGGATCCTGCAAAGATAAGAGCAAAACTCCCACTGTTCTGTATCTGCATATACTTACTTGAAGGGTAAAATTACAAAGGGAGAGGTAAAAAGCATGCAGTTTATTTCTCTTTGCTTCTCTAAGGTGGCTGCATATGTATTCTGAGCAAAATAGAAAAAAGTTACCTTGGAGATGTCACCCAAGCTCCTTTGGCTGAGCAGTCACTGGAATATGGAGCCAACTTCTCACAATCAAGAGGGAGCAGGACCCCAAAAGCAAGTCAGCCTGCAAAATGATATATGGAAATGAGTTAGCAAGTCCTAAATTAGCTTTTATTTAGATCTTTACTTGCTTGTCAATTCAGAATTTTTGTGAGCATACCTTCCCTAGAGAATGGGACTTGAATTCACAAGCTCCTTTCAGGATGCAAATGCTCACACTCATTCCTGTGTGCTCTGACAGATGCTCTTTACCAAACCTACCAGCTGGGCCGAGGGGACACACTGTCCCCAGTTGCCTCAGCTACCCTCAGCTGAAAATTCCCAACAAGGGTGGAGCAGAGCAGAATCCATGACTGCTCCTCACCAGGCAGGGATGGGCATTAGGGAAGAAAGGCTGAAGCAGAGTATATTAAACCCCAGCAGCTGAACAGGCCTGGTTGTATGCCCCAACACAAGGGAGGTAGCATTTGGCAAAGCAGCAGGACAGCTGGTGAAGGAGATAACCTTTCTAACTACAAAAGCTAAATCAGACAGCTTATCTACTGCAGCTCCCAAGCACGTGTAGTGACGTCCTACCAGGACAGATACATCCATATCATAACCTCTTTCACTGCTTTTATCAGATTTGGTTGACTCAGATCTTCTACTAATATAATTATGGCAGCTATCTCTGTGTTATTTTTTAACAAAACAACTGCACCCATCTTAACTACTGTGGACACATTACACACATAGAGAGACAACCTGTAATAGCAAAGCTTGCTCCTTTACTCCCAAAGAAGGGGTTCAAACATTAATGACACCACATACTGACAGGGCTGATGCAAAACAAATGCAAGCTTATGAAGCTTGTCTCCTACACACAATTAATGCCACTCAAAATGCATAGACGAGCCTGTAGAAATAAATGAAGGCAAAGAACTTGCACCTCAGTACCATCTGCAGAGTGGTTCACACCAGCATGGACTATACAGGAAGTACAGGCAGCCCAACACACTGATTAAGAGAATTGCATCTATTAGGAAGCACATCTACCCGAACAGCACACTGGGAAAGCCAAAAATAACAGCTGCTGCCACATCAGAATGGCACAACACTGCGCACAGGCGATGCCTGCAAAACAGAAACTAAGCAGCCACACACACACACACTTCCTCTTCCTCCCCCCACCACCCCTACGACACCAGCAACAAACCTGATATTAAACACTGGCCAGCATCCTGCTCTGCATTCCTGTCACATCAGGAATAGAAATGAGGGAGACTGCTAGTGCTCCTCCACATAGCTGAAGGGCTCCTTCAGTTTACAGCACGTAACACAAATACTTGACATGACTCTAGCAGAGCATTCTGTCGCATTTTCTTTTCTTTTGCTCCTCTTCTCAAGCTCACCCATTTCAGAGCTCACTAGGGACCCTCTCTACTTACTAGACTTGTTTTTGATACATTCCCTCTCAAAGACTGAGAGGTCAGAAATAAAAGGAGCCGTTCCTAGGCATGTCACATCATATAAACAAGCAAGCAGAGAGTCACACACAAACTCTACAAGTCAAGTTCAATGCTAAACCCTGCCCAGCACCAAAACTAACAATGTGACACTGTCAAACACTAGAGTAAACAAATCAGGCTGCAGCTTTTTGTCAATACTAAATTCTGAGACTACAAATTCCACATCAACACTCCACTGAAATGCTCACATCTCCAACATGTTACAAGCTAATTCCTGATGGACGGATTGGGGGAATCTACTGACAGCAAGTGAAGTGTCTGAGTTACACTGCAATAATCAAGGCCCCTGTAAGATTTTCCATGGCTTTGGTATCTCCATTTCAACCACAGATGGAAGAAACACACCTCCTCTAGAGGTTTGGGTAATTCAAACTTAGCACTTACATTTCTTATCCAAATGGAAAGCAGTCAGTGCCACCCCACACCCAGCGTGCCAGCCAGAATTCACCAGATCCACAAAACCCTTTAGGCATGGAGAAACTAACTGAAAACTGAAATCTGAAAAGTGATCAAACCTTTTTACAAACATTTGGTGATCCACTGGACCAAAGAGACTGTGCCCTGTAAGCAGATGGTCAACAAACAGCCCCCAGCTTGTACAGGGCTCCTTATCTCACACCAGTCAAGCTCAACAAGGTCACATTTCAGAGCTGGATCATTGTACCCAAAAGGAATAAGCTCCATATTTGTGGGAGAAAAGGAAAGAAACAAACCAGGCAGCTCAGATGGGATGAGCAGAGCACGCAACTACATGATTAAGAAGAAATCACAACACTTGTTTAAAAGGGCAATTAGCTGATTAAGGGCACAGGTACTACTCCAGCCTGGACACTTTTTTGACATCTGAGTGCTTGCTACTCTAACCTTGACTTTTCACTACGTGCAATGCAAGACAGAATAACTTCCAAGTCAGTTGACTTGCACAATGTGCCAAGAAAGGGGATCTCAAAGCACATCTAATTTTTCTTTCTACAATATTTTTATAAGAAGGACATGCCCAGTGCTGTCAACCTGATGATGAGGCAGACAATGATTCACAGAAGTAGGAGAGAAGCATGGGCACTACTGTTTTATTTTATTTTTAAGTATATGTAAAAATGTGGTTTAAAATTATATTTATATACAAGAAAATAGATAATATAAAAAACTACATTGTTGCACTCTTAGACAGTCACACTGCAGATTACCCTGAACTCAGATAAGATCCCATTCCAGCACCAGCCCCATTTCCCTTGCACCTGCAAAACCATTTAAGCACCCGAGGAGAAAAACAGTTTGTCTTCAGCTTGATCAGTCTGTAAGTCAGGGAGCTCTGATTCTCACCTGCAGACGCACAAGCAACAAGGCAAGAACCTCCTATGGGTTGCAGTCTATACTTAAATGAGCTGAAGTACCTGTGAAACCACACATGGAACGTGAAACTGGTGATCAGAAGCAGATCTTAAAAACTCTCCCCTTTCTCATCTCAACAGATAACCGTGCTCACTTGCTCTTCTTCTATGCAAGAAACATGCAAAACTGCCACAAATGCCTAATGAAAAACCAGAGGGTTCAGGAGAGTGTCCCACCAGCATATCCTACTCTCTCCATCAAAGATTCCTAAGCTAGTAACCTTGTATACATCAACTTCCCCTCCAGGAGCTAAGGATCACTTCCCCTGTTCTCGCAAAAGTCCTTACTAGACAGGAAGCAAAGGCAAGGCCATGAAAAAGGACATTTCAGATCAGCCTAACAAGATCTAACCAGGATAGCATAGGTTGTTCATCTATGCACCTGGAAATGGTTGTGCTGAAAAAGCTGAGAGGGTATGAAACAGTCTCTAAGAAAGAAAAAGAAAAATTAGCATTAGGACAATTAAAAACATTGAAAAAACAAGAATTTGATGCAGTTGAAAAAGCAACCCAATGTTATCTTGCTTTATAGCACTCGAAACTAAATCTTTTCACAACCACTTTCCTTCCAGCTCCAAAACAAAGCACTTACCTTAGGTCAGAGCTAAACTAACCCAGAAAAATACTTCACAGTCTAAAAAATAAGAAACTGTTGCATGGGATTAGGAGAGACCTATTCATGGTTATAGTGACCACATGAAATAACTGATACACCTGAAGGTCCTGACAGGATTTCTATAAAAAGGAAATCAGAATCTTAGTTCAGTGATGCATAACAAGGATACCATTATTTTTCTCCATCAAAAATCTGACCACACACACAAGTGTTAGCATATCAGCTGCAGGTGACGGTTCACTACAATGGGAGTTTCACAAGATGCTACTGCATATTATTTTGTGAGACAAGCTACTAACTATGTTTACAGAGCCCTAACAATCATTACAGAAACATTACATTAAGAATGAACAGAGACCCAAGCCCACACCATTCAGTAGTTCGATAGCAAAAGCCAGTTTTGGAATCCAGCTCTGGTAGCTCTGAATACCAAGTTAAGCCAGTTGAACCTGAAGGGAGCAAAAGCAGATGGAGCAAAAACAGAGCAAGACGGGTTGAAATGACAAAGGTAGCACATACTGAAGTATATTGTTCAGGGGAAAAAAAGAAATAGGGCTGATGCTGAGGTTAAAAATTAAGCAATATGGATCCCAGGACCAATATAAATTCAGACTAGTTCAAAAACGAACAGCAGTCGGTACCACCTACCCTAATTCAACCCCTCCTTGGAAACCCCGGGGAAGGTTGGTCCCGGTCCAGATCTGCAGACCCATGAGCACACCTCAGGGGACTGCCAGGCACTCCGGGTGTCCCCACCGGGGCAGCCAGCGCTCCCGGGGCCACCCACACCCCTCCCCTGCCGGGGGGCAGCACGGACGGGCCCCCAGCCCCACCAGCCTCCTCACCATGTTGGTTTCATGTTACCGCCGCGGTTTCCGAGCTCCTTCCTGCGCGCAGCTCCTGTGGAAGGGAAGGAAGGGCACAAAGGGAGGGGACGCTCGCTGTGCCCGCTGGGCACGGCCCTGCCCCGGCACCGCGCTGCCCAGCCCGGGAACCCCACCCCGGCCGTGCCCCAGGCGGGCCCCGCAGGGGAAAGCGCCCGGGTCTCACCCACGCACACACGGGGACGTACCGGGCTCCCCCCAGCCCCTCCTCATGAGGCCGCGCACGGACCCCTCCACCCCAGGCCCATCCCGGTGCTGGCTGCCCCCTCACCCCGGCTGCTCACGGGGCTGTGCCTGTGTACCCCTTCTCCCTCCACGGGGCCGCAGCTGGGTCTCCCCTCAGGGCAGCGCGCTCGGCTCAGCCCCCCGCCCCTCAGCCTGGCCAGTCCCCGCCCGCCGCGGCTCACCGAGGCTGGCGCTGCCTGCCTGGCCGGGACACCGAAACGCGGAGCCCCAGCGCCGCCGCTCCCCGCCGCCCGAATCAACAACAAGATGGCGGCGCCCGAGGGGGCGGAGCCCGGCGCTGGCCGTCATAGCAACCGCGCCGTCCAAAGCCCGCCCCGTCACCCTGCGCGCCAATCCACACCCCAGTCCCGCCCCACCGGGGCCCTCTCTGGACGTTGATAGGTCAAACTTGTTGTCGCTCAAGAGCGGAGCCGCCCCGCCCTTTCCCGAGTGCGGACGGCGGCGCACGTTAGGCACACGTGACGCCAACCGAAGCCCCGCCCCCTGCCCGACTGAGCTGTCTCATTGGCTGTCCGCGGAGAAGGGGGGGAGCTTGGCCAATGGGCGCGGCCCGCCCGTGCTGGGTGCGCCCCTCCGGGCCGCGGCTCCGCGCTCCGAGCCCTCACCCCAGACAGCTCCGCGCTCCGAACCGCGCTCCTCGATCGGAGCCCACCCCCGACAGCTCCGCGCTCCCCCATCAGAGCCTACTCCCAGCCGGTCTGCACTCCGTGTTCCCCGATACGAACTCACACCTGGTCGTCCCGCGGTCCCGTATTCAGAACTCCCCGCCCGAGACCCCGGGGCCGCTCCGCATCCCTCTCCGGCCGCCACTCCGAGCGGGGTCTCGCCAATGGAACACGCTCACGCACCACTCTGGTACCATAAAGGGTTAAATTCCCGAACGGTCACGGTTCTCGTGGGTTCAGGGCAAAAGGGACCCTCAGGCAAAGTCACACAGGTGACCCCTCTCACTGTGAAATTTCACGGCTGGTCCCTGTTCCCCTTCCCTCCCCTTAGTCACCTACTCCCCAAATTAGTCTCTTCCCTCTTATCCCGCCAGCGCTTCATTTCCCCAGGAGCTGCCAGGGAGGCGTCCCGTGGCGCGCTCCTTTGAAATTCAAATAACCGGTTTCCCACCTCCCGCTGACTGACACCTTCAAAGCCTCCCGCCGCTCCCAGCCTCCTCCTGCGGCGTCCCGCTCACCTGCACCCACGCTAATTCACTTTTCCTCCCAATTATCAACCCATCCCCTCTGCCGACCATCTGCTCATCCCACCCGTTTGCGCCTGCAAGCGCTGTAACAAAGCAGAGCTTGAAGTGAACGCGGGACTCGGGGCAAAAATTGCTCAGAATTACCCGTGGCTGAGTTTTCTTGCCCAGATAACCTCCCTGTGGAGGACTGCCCCGGCTGGGTGACATCCAGAGGCTACAGAGATGCTTCTGTGACCGAAGCAGACTTGGCCAAAGCTCTCGCAGTATTTTTTGCAGTGCCAAGCCCGCTGCCAATCCTTGTCCTGGGTCATGCCAATTACATCGCTGACGAGACAGTGCTAATGACCACCACAGCAGGACAGCCACCAGTTAGCACTGCCCGGCAACGGGACTCCCTAAGGCAATCACAGCAGCCTGTGCAATCCCTGACACCATTTATTGGGTCTACACTGGCTGAGGTGGCTCAGGATCTGGCTGCACCCCATGGGCAGCAGGTTTGGCCACAAAGGATGGGTCTCCTCCTCGGGGGCCACACCAGCTGTCTGCCAGTGCCCTGTGCTCTGCCCAGCACTGCCCACATGGAGCTGTAGGTCACAGGAGCCCCTCCTCAAGTCAAGCCCTTCAGATCCAGCGCCGAGCCCCAGTCTCGCTGGTGAAGAGATAGTCCCTGCAGCTGCCTGAGATGGAGGCAGCACTCAGTCACTGCCCCAAGGGCCTGGTCATCATCTCTTCTGTCCCCAGACCCCTCGACACAACCCGAGGCTGCTTTTGGGGCTGTGGGATAGGGCACTTACGTCGGTCCTCAGCACGGCCATCAAACTGCCCCTGTGTGGAAGAGGGACAGGAAAGGCTGCTGAGGGCCACAGGCCTCTTCCTGCCTCCCTGCAAGGGCACCCACCCCCGCTGCCACACACTTACTGGGCTGCTGGCATGTGGGTGTCCCTGTTCCTCCTTGCCCCTGCTGTGCTCCACTACATCCCAGGAGCTGCAGAAGGAAGAGGGGAAGGGAGGGAATGCTGTCACTGATGGGCTGCTGGCTTCAACCCCAAGAGATGCTGCTGGGAGCCACTTGCCAGCCAGTTTTTGCCCTGCCGGCTGCACCCTGTTAAGCTCATCATCCACTTACCTGATTGTCCCCTGAGACAGATGGGGAACGTGACAGGACTGTGCTCCCCCAAACACCACTACCTTTGAGCAGTGCCTGAGCACCAAGGTCGGCCACCACATCCACTTGTTTCCCCATGTACTGGCACACATCACTCTTGTGCTTGGAGAATGCTGTGCTGGGGGAGCTGCCAGAGCCATCTACAGAGGCTGAGCCTGGGTCTTCTCCCTTGCATGGTTACTACAGCCCCAGTGTCACTGTGTCCCCAACCTTACCAATGAACCAGGATCCAGCTATGCATCACTTCGGGGCAGTTATGCCACTGGAGGTAGCTGTTATCGGGCCCATGGGCTTGCATGTCTCCTCCTTGCTGTGCAGACACTTGGCACAGGCCAGTCTAGCGTCTCCTCAGGATCTCTCCTCTGTCACCTGTCATCGTGACTGACCCTCCAGGGTTTGTGCAGCCTGCTCACCTCATCCCTGGGAGCTTTCCCTGACAAATGGGGCTCACCCCTGCCAAACAGGGGCTCCCCTGGTGAGCTGCAGTGACCTCAGCCCCGGTGCCAGAACCCAGCCTTGCAGTAGGCATCGGCACCAGCACTGTGCCATCCCACCCTATCCACTGCAGAGTTTGTGCCCCAGCCTGGCCACTGACATCACTGTCTACTGGGCAAATTGCTCTCTCTGCTCCCATAGCTCCCATCAGGGCTGCACCCTTGCCCTGGGCAGAGAAGGCTCCCTGGCACAGCAAGCCATGGCCAAATGCAGAGTATATTAAACACACCCTGAGTGCTGTGTCTGCCTGACTACCTGCAAGGACAATATAACTGCCAGTATGACCGCCCTGGCCATATAGCACTCACCTCTTGGCCAGGAACAGCTTGCCAGGGGCCCGGTTGCTGGGGGAGGAGCAGAAGGCAGCTGTGAACCCTTAGTCTTGCTCACGGTGGCATGCCGTGAGGCAGGCTGGGGCTCACCTGCACAGCAGGTTCCAGGCCGTGCAGCCCAGGGTGGCCAGCAGCAGGGCACCAGAGATGGTCAGCACGGCCACAAACCAGGCTGGTGGGTGCCACACTGCCTCTGTCTGCACGACAACCAGCGGCTCCTTCTGCAGCGTCTGTGGAGGCAGCGGGGTGAGGGGCCATGGCAGGTTCGGTGGAGCCTGGAGCACCAGCTGGTCAGTGGGCTCTGCTCACCGTGTGCTGGGTGCTGGTGCTGGATGGCACCGGGGTGCTCCGGGGGACAACGTGCACCACCAGTGCCACCAGGGTGCTGCGGCGGCGGGCACCAGAGCCGCCCCACACCTCCACCAGCAGGACAAAGGGGTGGGGCTCGGCTCGGTCACTGGGGAGGTACACAAGGGTGTTCCCTTCCAGCCGAAAGCGCCCATCTTCATTGCCTGGACGAGAGGGCCTGCTCAGTGTCACACGACGGCGAGGGCTGGTTTGTGCCGTGGTTTGGCCGCTCCTCACCTCCAACAATGGTGTAAGTCAGCACGGCGCTGTCGGGGCTGCTGTGGCACAGCAGGCGGGTGACAGGCTGGCGGCTGCCCGGGGACCCAGCCGTGATCTGCAGCTCCTGCACCTCGGGGATGCACACCGGCAGCTGGTCCGGCACAGCCTGCCAGGAGCACGGGGAAGCGGTAGGAAACCCACAGTTCTCGCATCCACCCCAGCTCACCCAGTGGGCTGCCCTCATACCTGCAGGCGCACAGACACGTCGCACAGACTGCTCTGCCTCTCCCTTGGGTCCAGGTCATTGTGAGTATCTGTCAGCCGCACCATCAGCTTGTAGCTCTTCTGCTGCTGGGAGCCCAGGGGTCCCAGCACGCGGATCTCGCCTGTGGGGAGGTGTGAGCTGCTGGGAACCAGTAGGTGCCGTGGGGCGTGGCAGGGGCTGGGGAAGGGGCCGGGTGCTCACCAGTGCGCCTGTCAATGGAGAAGGGCTGTGCAGGGCCAGACCCCCCCTCTAGGCTGTACTCGAGGCTGTCCAGGGGGTAGTCGCGGTCAGTGCCAGCCACACGCCCCACGACGCTGCCGAAAGCTGCTGTCTCTGGCACGGTGAAGGTGGTGCCGCTGGGGCACGCCGGTCTGAATTCGTTGACAGGTGTCACCGTCACAAGCACAGGCACACGAGCTGTGTGGCACACAGCTGCTCAGCCATGCTGGCACCACCCCACAGCCTGTGCCAGGCTGGGTAACATGGGGACAGAGGCACCAGCCCTGGCGTGGGCATCTCTGGGGCAGAAGGGAAGGAATATTTCCTCTGTGATCTGCTGTTTTGGGGATTGAGAAAGGTATTTTCCCACCCTAGGGACATGGGCACTCACTGCTGTGTAGGGGCTGCCCTCCCACTGTCACCACAATGGTGGCTGTGAACTGGAAACCCAGAGCAGCCATGGCCTCCGAATCATAGTCCAGGGTGGTGTTGACCTGCCAAGCCAGGAGGGGAGTGTCAGGCAGAGCTGAAGTGCTCTGCAAAGCTCAGATGTCCTGCAGAGCCAGAGTATCCCACAAAGCCAGGGTGTCCCACAAAACTGTGATGCCAGGGGAGGAGGGAGCAAGCGAGAACGAGCAGGCTTTGGGGAGCAGGGAGTTCTGAGGAGCCCTGACCCAGAACCTGGCATGACAGCACATGTCACAGGGTTCCACTTGTCCCACTGGGCTCTGGGCTTGCTGTCCACCTGCACACTGCCCATGACCCCGCTCACCTTCAGCCGTGGCCCCTCCATGTAGAAGTGAGAGAGGGAGGAGGGAGGCCCCTCGAGAGCGTAGTGCAGACACCCATCAGTGCTGGTGGAGTCAGTGCACCTCAGTGTCACCAAGGTGCTGCCAGGGGACGTCGTTTCGGACACCTGGGACCTGTGGCAGGGCATCCAGCAGTTCAGCCTCTGTCCCATGTCCTGGGTGCAGCAGAGAGACCCATCCACCCCACTCCCCCCTGAACCATACACGAAGATGGCTGGGTCACATCTTGGTGCCTGACGGTCTGTCCCCTGCACGGTGACATTGACTGTGGTGGTGGCGTGGTCGTCGGGGTGCAGCGCATTGTAAGCCCGGATGAGGAGTTGGGCACGGATCACCTGTAGCCGGCGGGTGCTGCGGATCTCTCCTGTCACTGCGGGAGGAGCCATGGCCTTGCACTGGGCACAGGGATAGGGACAGGGTGTCCTTGGGGATCCCCACTGCCCTGCTCACCCTCATCAATGGTGAAGAGCGCGGGAGCCACAGGAGCAAGGATGGCATAGTGGACATTATCACCTCTGGCACGGACCTGTGTGACCACCTCCCAGGGACCAGTGCCTTCTGTCACCGTCACAGCCCGGTGTGGCTCACTGCAGGCAAGGTGGGCATTGTGGCACAGCCTGGTGCCACCAGCACCCCTCTCCTGGCCCAAGCCCACTCACAGGAAGGTGACACGGGGACGGAGTGATGGCAGCACCTCCACCGTTACAGCCCCGCTGCAGTTGTGCCCATGACGATCCATCACCTCAATCTCCAACCTGAACCTCTGTGGGCCAGCACCGGGGCAGCTGTGGGACAGCCCCGAGTGGCACTAACATTGGGGCTGGGGACAGGATAGTGATGAGGCTACTAATAGAGATAGGAACAGGAATAGCAATGGGATGGGAACAGGAACAGGGACAGAGACAAAGAAGAGGGGGCAAGGGATTAAAATGGGGCTTGGAATAGGAACAGAAGAGGAAAGAAGTGTGGAGATGGAGATGAGTATGAGGTGGAGACTAGAATGGGCAGGAATACAGACAGGGAGGAAGATATGGACAAGACTTGAGATGCAGAAGGTGGGAACAAGGCTGGAGCATTTGTGGGTCCAGGGAGAGACAGGGGCCTAATGGGGAGAGCAGGATGTGGAGGGCTGTGGCCAGAGAGAGGCTAAGCCCCGGTGGACAGAGAGGTGGCTGTGACCAGCCTGGGGCTGCTGGTGCCCACCTGGGTGTCCTTGCTAGGGTCAAAACCATTGTCAGGCGCCAGCACCACACCCCGGCGGGTGAGCATGAGCGGTGTGTTGTGGTTTCGAAGCCTGAACTGCAAAAAGGAGGGTGATGGGAACCCCTGTCCCACTCCTCCATACCCGAGCTTCTGCTGTTTCCAAGGCTGCTCCCTTCTGTGGGGATGTGGCCCCCCAGGGAGCTGCCACTCACCATCAGTCCACCAAGCGGCTGTGGCAGCACCGCATACAGGGGTGTCCGTGGCGCCACATCTGCCAGCACCGGCACCACATCACCCTCTGGAGCACAGCACAGCTGTGGGAATTTGGTGCTGGCTGGCACCCACAGCCCCCACTGCCCTGTGCCCCTGTTTCCTACCTGCACTGGCAAAGGGGGTGTCACAGCGCAGCACGTGCCCTGCTGTCACCCGGACAAAAAGACGCTCTTCCACCTCATCCTCACCAGGACAAGCAGCCCGCAGGATTAGTGTGTACTGGTTCACCCGGCGGGCATCGAGCTCTGCACCAGCGCGCAGTGTCACCTGCCATCGGGACACAGTCACTCAGCAGGGCGCCTGCCAACTCCTGCCCCACTCCCTATTCCCCAGCCACACCTCTGCCCGGAACGTGGTGGCATCCGTGGGGTCAGAGCTGATGGCGATGGAGTTGAAGGGGTGGTCGGGCTCGATGCCATCCAGGGTGACATTGGGACTGCTGCTTGAGTTGCTGCAGGACACAGTCACCTCAGCGACGCGGGTGCCGGACACTGTGTCCTCACTCAGGGCCACCACACGTGGCAGGTCAGGCAGGACTGGTGGGAGACCCCAGGAACCACTGATGGCTCATCCAGCTGTGCTTATGGAGCTCTGCTCCTGCACCTGAGCACCAGTGCAGGCACAGATTTCCCTCCCAGGCACAGCCAGGTCCAAAACACCCACTCTTACCGGTTGCTCCGACGAAAGTCCCTGCAAAGAAGAGAGTGTCACCCCAGCCTGCCAGGTGTGCCCTGGCAATGCCCTGGAGAGGCCCCAGAATTCCCTCTATGCCAGGCTCTCGTGAAACCTCAGTGGTGTCTGGATATGCCATAGTGATGCCCAAAATAAGCCCCAGTAACATCCTGGCAATGCTGAAGACACCCTGAGGACACCCGGGCAATGCCCCGAGCATGTTCGTGTGATGCCCCCTCCCACCTCAACCCAGCCAGGAAGCTGCCAGTCTTTTTTCCCATCCTGGGGTCAGCACCAGGAACGTGAGAGCAACCGAAGACAGCCTCTCCCCTGTCCCCTTCTTCTCAGCCATCCACCCAGGATATGGCAAAGGATGCCCCGAACACTGTGACCTTGAATCACCTACCTGGGGCATAGAGGCTGAGGAGGAGGAAGGTGAGGTGTCTGTGCATGCCCATGGCTCGCTGGGTGTTTGGGACAAGCTGCAGCGGGTTGCCAGGGGTGCTGGGCGCCACCCCGGCGCGGCGTCATGCCGTCCATCCCCACCCGCTGGTGGCCGTCCCGGCCAGGGGAGGGACAGGGCACGGCTCCAGTGCCCCCAGCTCTGCATGCCGCCGGTCCCAGCCCCTTGCCGCTCGCAGCTCCGTGGGGTTTGGCTGCCACCCCACGCTGCTTCACCACGCGGCACGCTCGGGAACCGGGAAAATTAGTTGGGAGGTAATTTTTGGCCGTGTTCTTGTTCATTTGCAAACCAGTGCCGCTTCTCCCGGGATCCCCATTAAACGCTATTAGTTCCCAATTAACGGGCTCTGCGGCCAGGGTCACTCTGCGGCCGGGGTCACTCTTCCCTTCCCTCCTCCAGCGTCCAGCCCGGCTCTAGTAGCCCGGTGGCAGGGGGTGCCGAGGGGGATGCGCCCACCGGGGCCCTGTACCGGGGCTGCCCTCCTTCCCGGCGGGGCATACAGGGCTGCGGGACCCCCAGTGCCCGCGGTGCTGCCGGCCGGGACACGAATCCCGCCTGGCCCGGCGGTGCCCGGGTGGTGCCCGGCGCGGGGCCCCGGGGCGGCGGGGAGGGGTCCGTGGGCGGGGCGAGGCCCCGGGACGGCGGTGCCGGTGCGGGCCGGGCTCACGTTACGGCGGCCCCATTGGCCGGGGCGGGGCGGGGCGGGGCCGCCGGGCAGCGCCGGGAGGCGGCGGGCACGGCCGGGCGCTCCGTCCGCTGTAGCTGTCGCTGCTGCTGCTGCTCCGCCACCGGCACCGGCGGCACTGGGAACGGGGCCCGGAGCGGCGCCGGGGGAGCAGGACCGGGCATGCACAGCGCCCGACCGGACGAGCTCGGCGCCGACCGGGTGAGTGTCGCCGCGGGCAGCGGGAGGGAACAGGACGGGACGGGACGGGACGGGACCACTGTGCCTGCGCCCCGCCGTCTCGGGACTGGCGTGACGATCCGGCGCTGCCGGTGACATCAAGGCCGTGACATTACACGCGAGGCCAAAGGCGGCGCGGGGGACGTGGGCGCCCGGTGGGACACTGGTGATGTGGGGGCACGGGTGGCCAGCGGTCGCAGTGTCCAGCTGTCAAGGTGCCAGCGGCACCGTCCCCCCGGAGCTGCCACCCTGCTGCCCACCTGGGCTGCCCCGAGGGACGGCGGTGACAGGGTGGCCCTTCGGCTCTCCTGGGCCTGCCACATGCTTACCCAGCACCTCACAACCGGCTGCCCTAGTGTTCCCGGCCAGCGGCGGGACTGGGCGGCTCGGAGTGGTGGCACATTGCCACTAGGGCTGGATAAGAGGGTCCCAGACAGCGGGGAGTGGGGCAGGGATTGGGACGGGGATGTGGAGAGGGACAAGGACAGTCCTGCCAGCAGCTCTGTCAGGGCCAGCCAGAGGGGACAGAATTATTGGTCCTGGAAGCAATCCCTCCTGCACACTCAGCTTTCCGCGTCTCCAACGCGGAAAGGAAAGCGGACGTAACACCCTGCTTTTGGGTTCAGACAATAGGAATTCAAGAGCGAGGAGCGGCCCGGCTGCGGGAGCCAGCAGTCCCTTTCAGCGCCCGCCCGGCCGCGCTCCGTTCAGTCCTGCCTGCCTTGGTTCCCTGTATTCCCCGGCGTTTGAGGGGGCCCGGGCCTTGGGTGCTGGCCTGGCTGCACCCTGACGTCACCTGGGGTGTCCCCAGCTGGAGGGCACAGGGTGGGTGGGTGGCCCTGCCAACGCACGGGGGGAGAGCCCCACCCCAACACCCGTGAGTGCTCTGGGGCTGTCGCTGGCTCCGTGCCACCGAGCGGGACTCTGCCGAAGGGGTGTCCCGGTTCCCCCCGATCGAGAAGGGGGCACTCTATGGGCTATCGGGGGGGCAGTGGAGCGCCCGCTCCTACGTGCCGTGGCCCTCTGTCATTTCCCGCAGGCACGGCCGGGGCTGGGTGCCTGCTTGCTCACCCGACAAGCCGCTGCACGCCGGCCGGCTCCGCGCAGGAGCCGCAAGAAAGCGGGGCCCGGGGCTGCAGGCAAGCCGGGACCTGCGCCCCGCTCTCCGCACCCTGCTGCACGCCCATTGCGCCAGCGAAGCCCCCCCGTGCCGGAGCGGAGGGCGCGGGGTGCCGAGGAGGGTGGGATGGGGGATGGCGGTGCTGGCTGGGGGCAGTAGCGACAACCGTGCTGATGTGCCCTTTCCCTGCAGTGGTGCCGGCGGGACGCAGGGCCGACGCTGCGGGCGCACATGCACGGCACGCGGCAGGCACCGCACCACCCCGGAAGGGCGCCGGGACCGGCCGCCCGTGCCCCGCGCCCCGGCTCGGCGGCAGACTCGGCCTGCAGCCTGGATCCGGGTGGCGAGGAGGAGGAGGGCGGGGGGCCAGCAGCTCGCTCCCCCCCAGCCAGTGAACGCAGCCTGGAGTTCGACTCGGGGTACTCGGAGGCGTCGGGGGGCACGTGGAGGGAAGAGGAGGCGCCCGTGCGGCGCCGGCATCTGCTGCCCTGCCAACGGGCACACCGGCTGTCCGCCGGCCCCGGAGCCCCACCGCCCGCTCCCGCCCACCGTGTCCGCCCCAAATCCACCTCGGACGCCTGCCTGGAGCAGTGGCGGGCCCTGGAGCCCGCCGACACCCAGGACTGGACCGTAGCACTGCTGTCGCAGAGCCGGAACCGGCAGCCCCTGGTGCTGGGCGACAACTGCTTCGCTGACCTGGTGGAGAACTGGATGGACCTGCCCGAGGTGGGCGCCGAACCGCGTCGCCGAGCCCCCGCCGAGCCCTCCCGCCGGCTGGCCAAGCCCCCAGCCTTCCTGCTCAGCATCTCGGGCAACGTACGCCGTAAGCTGGCCAACATGGCCCGGCCGCGGGGGGCCGACGGTGCCCGGCCGGGGGGCCGCGATGCCACCAAGCGTTTCTCCTGCCCGCTGGGGCTGGGGGGCCAGCCCAAGGGCGCCTGCTTTCATCAGTCCCACAACAACATTGCCCAGCTGGCCACGGACTTCCACCGCTTCACTGCCTTGATGAACAGCCGCAGCCGCCAGCCCATCATCTGCAACGACGTTATCGGCTACATTTAGCCCTGCTGCTGCGGCCCTCACCCTGTAAATAAACCCCCGTTTTGTACGGTCTGGGCACCGCAGCATTTATCAAAAGGAGTGCCTGTGCCCCGACTCCGGGCAGGGGCAAACAGGGGGTTTTTGCAATGAGGGCCACTGCAGCCTGCAGCTTTTATTGCACGGGGCAGGATATACCAGCCCCTTGCTCAAGGTAGGGAGCACAGGAGAGGGGGACCGGTATCTTCAGCCTCAGCATCCTCTCCCTCGCATATATACAGCAGCTCCAGGTCCTGCTGCTGCAGCATCCTGGCATCCCTGGAGACCTCTGATAACCTGTAGCAGGGAAAGAGGGTTTTGGGGGCACTGGCTTGCCCCCCAGGGCTGGCTGAGTGCTCTGGGGGTGCCTTGGGCCCCTCAGAGGTGTCCAGCCAGGCTGGTGGGATGCAGGGGCCGGCAGCAAGGGGCCGGGCAGGGGTCCCGCCACAGGAAGTGCTGCAGGCAGGATGTTTATCCAGCAGCTGGCTGTGAGCTGCACTGCAGCTGGAGTGGCTCAGGATTGAGGCAGTGGGGGCTGGAAGCATCCCCTGGGGCAGGATTGGGCCCTGAAGCTGGGGACCTACCTCTGCGCCTGCTGCTGGGCCCGTGTCTCTGCAGCTGCCTTGCTGTCATAGAGCACGTCATCACCACACAGGAGCATGGTCACGGTCCAGCCATGTGTCCTCTGCAAGAGGTGGGTGTCAGGATCTGGCCCTGCATCCCCCAGGTGATCTGTCTGAGTGCTGACAGCACTGGGCTCACCTGCAGCCAGTCCAGCACCTCCTGCACCGTCACCGCCTGTCCATCTGCGCCGACTCCCTGCATCTCCAGCCGGTCCCAGCAGCTCCACTCCCGCCCACCGTACTGCCAGGGGGCAGCAGCCAGCACTGGCACCCCATATCCTGGCTGCCCAGCCCCATAGGGCAGGAACTGGTGCAGAACAAGGGCTGGGGGACATCAGGGCAGGCAAATAGGCAGGGTGATGCACCATGGTGGTGCAGGGGCAGTGGAGGACACAACTATCCCCCCAGCACTGCTGGGGTCCACTTCAGGGGTCAGTGTCAGTATGGAGCCAGCACTGCCCCTAGCCCCGGGCCAGGACAGGCGCACAAAAGGCCATTGAAGCATTGCCCAGCCTCATACAATCACCTCTTCTCATGCTTGTGGCCCCACGACCCCTGCTCCGGCCCAAGGAGGCCAGTGTGGTGCCAAGCCCGGGGCCAAGTGCTGGACGCGGCCCCACGCCGTCTGGCAGGGCTGCACAGCCATCTGCCCCTCGCTGCAGGCAGCTCCAGCACTGGCCCCAGCCCCACTGGGGAGGGGTGTTCACACCTGGTCACTCTCCCTCCTGCTTTCTGCTGCCTTCTCACCTCCGCCACCTTCTGCTGCCTGCACTTATCCCACTGGTGGAGAGAAGGGCTTAACCCCATCCTCACCGGGGCAAAAACTCAGCAAAGAGGGAAAGCCATGGTCTGGGCCTCCATCACTCTAGCCCTGGGAAGCATATTCCTCTGGTTAAGGCTGGCCCCCAGTGTGGGCTCCCCAGGTTCCCATGGGGACATAGGTCATACCAAGAAGGCCTTGGGGACATGTGTTCCCACCATACCAAGCAGCTGAGTGTGAAATGTCATGCTGGGTGTCCTCGCCCTGGGACATGGAGGTGTTGGGTCTTGCTGCAAGGACGTGAGGGCATGGGCAGACCCAGCAGCATCTTCCATCCAGGGATGATGCCAACCCAGGGACACGACAGCCAGGATGGCACAGGGATGGGCACGGGGTTTGAGGGGGCTGTGGGGCAGCCATCAGCCCGAAGTGGTGCTGGAGCCGGAGCAAGGCAGTGGAGTCGCCTCCCTCCCCCTCTTCCTGCCCCCGGCCCGGGGCCCCCCGGGCCAAT